TCGTTTGGAAAAAAATAAATGAAAAACTCAAGTCAATGCATGAAAACTTGATCAAAGTGTTCACAAAATATTGAGTGAATAGTTCTTTAGAAAAAAGATATAAAGCTGACTGTGATAGAATTTTTTCAATGTATTTACTAATGTGCCACTTTCATACAGTTGATACAAATTGAGTGAAATTTCTGTTAAATAATAGCTTAGATGTTACTCCTGAAATCTATACATATATCCAATACTCTTCGTCATTAAATATGACAAAGATAGAAACACAAATAAAAATCGACTCGTTACTTGTGAAATATCCTTTATAACTAGAACTTCAATTTGAAGCATTGATTTCACTTATATGGCGCCATTAGTGATATTGATTTATTTTCACCTAGTTCGTAATAGCTATTGGAAGATTACTATTCATTTGCTACAATTAGGAACGAATATGTAGTTAGATGCAGATGCATAGCTACTTGAATCCCAACTACAACATAGATTTAGATATCAGAAATCGATTTTGTCGTCTAACGAGGGAACCTTTTGAACTGTGAAATCCTTTTGCACCTCTGACCCGATGCGTAAGACAGATCTCAGGGAGATATGAAAAATCCCAAAAGATGTAATTCTCTTAGGCCTCCTATCAAGAGTTATAGGCATTTTATTGGATGTTTAGCCTAGTGTGTAGTATATACGAACAAATCGAATGATGGTATTTCGATCTGATACTCTGTCCACAGATAGATCTATACATGAATAAAATACCCTGAAAATTTCAGTTCGAAAGAACTTTTCCTTTCCGAGATATGAAAGTCCTAAAAAACACAAAATCCTAGCATCTTTTGCTGCATTTCAGTGATTTCTGGAACTTTAATATCTTGGAAAGGAAAAGTTCTTTTGAGCTGAAATTGTCAGAACATTCTATTAATGCATAGATCTGTCTGTGGACAAAGTGTCAGATCGAAATACCAGCGTTCGATTTGTTCGTATATACTACACCGTAGGCTAAACTTCTGGTAAAATGCTCATAAGTCTTGACAGAAGGTCTAAGAGGATTCCGTCTTTTTTGGGATTTTTTACATCTCACTGAGATCTATCTTATGGATTAAGTCCGAAATCAAAGGGGATTTGACAGTTGAAAATGTTCCGTCGTCAGTTTCATTAATTGGGATTGAAATAAGTTGACGAGCAAATAATGATAAACATAGAAATCTGTATTGATGACCTCTCCAGAATAGTAATGGATTTGATTATATGTTAGTATGTGCAATATTCATTTTCAAAACATTCATCGAATTCATTATTTTTAAATATCATTCTTAAAATTAATTGTAATACATTGGTTTTCGAGCAATATTTAATTTATGAGATAAAAACTTAAGGTCATGACATAAATGAATTATAAAATAATTCAAAATTTCTTCGTTTGATACCAGAGACTTATTTATAGAATCTATCAGATGCAACAAATTTTTAATACTGTTAACAAGGATAAAGTATATGTTGCCATTTCTTGCACTCGAATATCTTATAATTGATCTTCAATATCATCCGTTGGAAATATGTTCCAATATTTTTTCTGATTTCTTAGCACATCTTTTGCATAGCATCATTATAATTATATCTAAAATAGTTTGTTTCTAACAATGAATATGAGCTTCTAAATAAAATAAAACAACGATAAACGAAAAATAAAACAACGATAAACGAAAAATAAAA